CAGTCTATCTTTCAACAAGATCGTAAAATTCGGCACAAAAATCAAAATGTTCAATGATGGTGCAATTGACCGATGTATAAAACTTGCAATTGTTGGTTTTCACTTATTGTGACAATAATAGTTTCGACGCGAAACACTTCACTTTAAACGAGACAATAATTTTAAGATAATAGTTATGGATTCACTTTATTTTAGTGAAATCCGGCTCGAAGGACCATGTTACTTCCATACATTTATTTTAATGTATGGTTCTGATGTAATCAAACTTTATTTGTTAATTATCAGAAAGGTTAAATGAAATAAAAAACAATTAGAGAAATTCACTCTAATTTTAAACTGTATTTTTGGATAATATCAATGTTACAACTGGTTGTGTGTGAAGTTTTAATTTCGCGGTGTGTGTAATGTAAAAAGGAATTATCCTTTGCTTACAAGGTTCAAATTGTATCTGACGTTTTTTCGGAAAAGTTTTTAGAAGTGAGGTATTGGGGATGAGAGGGATGTGCCAAATTTGGCAAAGGAGGGATTGGTTTGTCTATGATTGGTTACTTATAGGAAAAACCCAAAAAGGCGGAGGTACAGAAAATGCATAAGGTTCGTGTGTATGTGTGAGTAATTACAACGACGAGTTATTGTTATGCTTGAACAATGGTCCTAATCCTAAAGGGATAGATGGTCCATGCTTGGCCTAATAAAACATTTTTATGATAGCTTTTTTCTAAATTACCACTCGACAATTTAGACTAGCAAATTACGGTTCTTAGAAAAATACAAGGTTTGAAATGAATTTTTCATACTTTAAAGAAAATGTATAATATTCAATGCAAAGGATAATCCGAGAATTTATTTTAGTGTTGTAAATTTTGAGTTTTTGTTCTCTAAAATTTTGAGTTTGTTAATTTTGGGGATGTAATATAAATTATATTAATAAAATATAAATATAATATAAAATCAAATAAATAATTTTAAATTGTGATTTTCAATTAAATTGTTGCGACGCAACAGGTACATTTATACGAAGGTCGGTAGAAAAAAAATTTACCGAAAAAGTCAAAATCGCGTTCACACTTCGCTTTTCCGATATAATAGCTATGTTCTCGACAAACCTACTTCTGTCCTTTTCTATCTCATGCTTGCGTTCGCTTCCCGTTTTATTCTGCTCAGGCCTTAATTGTGCGTTGGACTTTACATAGTCCCTTCCTACATCACATATGACAGGTTGGTTTATGCAACTTTTGTTACATGGTGATCACATGATTTTGTGTTTTTGCCGGTACTATTGTGTTTACAAATGAAGAAAGTGAAAGAAAGAAAGTCAATGACTACTTACAGAAAGTCATAATACTAATTAAAATGATTAATAAAGCATCAACTAAAACTAAAATTATTGTAAAATTGACGCAATGTTTTTAAAAAAAGTGAGGTTATGGCAGTTTGTTTACAAAGCGTAATAATTTTTGAATTTTGAAAAGAATTATTTATTGAAAGATACAAAGACTTTTAAAATGTTTGGAAGAAGATTTCTTGCTGGAAGTAAGTATTTTTTATATTTTATACCTTCTTAAAAATTCAAAATAAATTCTATACCTATTATTACTATTACTTTTCTTCAGTTACTTATTTTATATATCTCTAAAATTAGTTTTCATAAGTTTTTTTTAGATATATTATACTTGTCAAAAGTTAATTAATTGTTATTTATTTTTAGAATTAAATGAAAATTTATATGGCTGTGACGAGAATTTGCAACAGCCACTATTATAAAGTATTGAAACCCAATGAGATATAGTAATGCAATTATTTTTTTTTTATCTTCACTGATAGGAAAAAATTATTTTATACTTATAAAAAAATGTATTTACATTATATTTAATTTTTTATATAATTTATATTACTTTTTTAAAAATTGTTTTTATGATTGAAAATTTTTAGAAATTTTATTTTTAATCCACTAACGGAAATATAATTCGAATTTATTAAATGGGAGAAATAGTTATATAAAAATTGCTTCATGTAGGTAATTGTCTTTGAAGGGAATCGTTATCAGATGGAATGCCTCAAATACATTTTTAATAATTTTTGTTTTTTTTTCTAAAATTTCAAAATCATTTTTTGTCAATAAAATTAGAATAACTGTTTTACTATTTTAAATTATTTCCAAATAAAAAATTATTAATTTTTATTTTCAGATTTTAAAGATTCTTTTGGAAGGAGCAATAAAATTGGGAAATATGGTGACCAAATATATCAAACAACTGATGATAGAATGAAAGGTTTTGAATTGAGAAAGAAATTGAAGTGTATAGAAGAACAGCTGTCCACAAGTGGAGAAGACCAAAGTCGATAGGTAACAATAATATACAATAATAATTAAACAGGATTGCACAGATCATATAGATACTTATAAATTGCGAATTTCGAAAAGGGCTCAACTCGGATTTTTTTCAAATTTTAGTTTTTTGTGTTTTTTGCATTATAATATTTATTAATGTTTTCTTAAAAGGAAAATTTCATCTAAACTACTTTTAACTGAGAGAAATGTATTGAACTGTGTTTTCTTTTGACTTTTATCCTAAGATTGTTTGTTTTCTAACTTATTGGTGAATTGTTTTTGAGCTCAAAAAAAAGATATAACATTTTGAAATTAAATAAAAAGGTAATTGACTTGATTCTCGATTGTAAAATATTTAATTAATATATATTTATGATTAAAACGATTGAATTTTTTTCATGAATTTCGCAAAGGGCCCAACTCTGACAAATATAATATCACATATGTAAGGTGTAATCAATAGTTTCTTATCAAGTAAATTTCATAAAGTCCTATTTATTATAGAAGCTTTTCGATCAGGTCAACGCTGATCATCTTCAGTATTACTATGCTAATATGGTAAATTACACATGTTATTATTACGATGATGACAAAACGAGGTTAAATTGCTGCAAACATTTCACATATTTGAAACAACCATCACAGGCATATGCAATATTGCATGCTAAGACATTAAAAAACACTAAAAAACATCAAAAGCATTGAAAATTCAGTCTTGCTGTCAACATCAGCATGATAGCAGTCAACAGCAATTTAACCTCGTTTTGTCATCATCGTAATAATAACATGTATAATTTACCATATTAGCATAGTAATACTGAAGATGATCAGCGTTGACCTGATCGAAAAGCTTCTATAATAAATAGGACTTTATGAAATTGACTTGATAAGAAACTATTGATTACACCTTACATATGATATATTCAGCCACAAGTCGAAACTAAAAAACTACATCTAATTATAATTAAATATAATATCATATCAATCTTCTCCAACCCACTTTAATTTAAGACAATTATTTTATCATTTTCTCTTACAAAATAGCATCTACACTACCGGTAAAAATTAGAGACCACCCATTTTCAGGCGAATGAAAATAGTTTTAAAACATAAAATTTATTGAAACTTAAAATTTTTCTGTTAATTTTTGAACAGAATAAATAATAAAATTTTAAAAAGAACAAGATATTTTAGAAGTCTTTTGGCCAATAATTTATTTAGATATATTTTTAAAAAATCGTCATTTTCAATGTTTTACAAAAATTTGAATAACTTCTAAAATAATGAACGCTTTTTAATGATCTTAGGCTTATTTTAACGGTCATTTGCTACACTATAAGAATTACTTATAGGCATTAACGTGTAATTTTTTTCTTAGAAAATGCAGGTTGTCAAACTATATATCTTGATATATATCCAAATAAAATATTGGCCAAATGACTTCTAAAAGATCTTGTTCTTTTTCAAAATTTTATCACCTTTCAAAAAATAAAAAGAAAAAAATTTTAGTTTCCATACATTTTATGTTTTAAAATGTTTTTCAATCACCTGAAAATGGGTGGTCTCTCAATTTTGACCGGTAGTGTAATCACTATAAAAAAAACTGGACTCTTTTAATTAAAGCTGTTTGAAATAAAACGTTTTTTGCCTCTCCTGTAAAATTTTAAAAACCGAGTTGTGCCCTTTTCGAAATTCGCAATTCATATTTAATCGACAAAAGTTCAAATTTAATTTGAAAATTAATTATTGTACTATTTACAGGTTTAGATCCAAGAGAACCATATTTCAATAATACTTTACCAATGCTGAGACTTGGTCCAACAGATGCTAATCCTTTCATTAGCGGTGGTCTTGAAATCGCCCAAACCGTTGGTCACATTGACTTTTATCCAAATGGAGTTCGTAATCAACCGGGTTGCGATGAAGGTGTGTTAAATTTCATTTTCCTCGAGCGAGGAAGCTTCTTCAGAGGTATTGGAATAACTTCATCATACCATATATTTTTAAACTTTACTGGTTAAATATATTCGATTGAAATTTTATTATCAAACTCCATTCGCAGAAAGAAATTATAACACAGTTCTACTTTCAATACTAACCATATATTTCACAAAGCAAAAATAATTTTCAAAAACTAACTCTATAAAATATTATTTTTACAGAAATGAGAAGATTTCTTGGTTGTAATCACATAAGAAGTTACGAATACTTCATGGAGATTACAAACACCGCCTGTCCTTACATAGCAGTGCCTTGCAAATCCTGTGATAAATTTTTAGAAGGAAAATGCTTCGACTGTGTGAATCAATATTGCCCCAGGTTTGGCTTTGATGCACAACCAGGAAACTATCATCATCATCATCATGATTATCATCATCAACTATGATTTAATGACTGGTCGAGAGATGCCTTTTTGCCGTAAGATTTTATCAAAAAAATTCTTCGATAATCTATATTATTGTTTAATTACTATTATTATATCACGACGAAAGAAAATATATCTCAGAAATTTTATTCTTGAAATGTGGACAAAACAATTATCAATATTGGAAAATAACTATATAGACAATTTTAAATAAGTAAAGACAACTATTTAGATAAATTATTATTATTTATTTAAGGAGGTCACTATCGAGAAAAGATAAATATTTAAATAACTTTATATAACATGGAACATGATGGTAAAGTAAAAAAATTTGTCATAAAGGTAATTGGAGCAAACGGAAAAAACCGAGAAGTTACAAATCAGCGAAACTTCTGAATACTATGAGCCCGGAAGTAGCCTACATCGTTTTTTTAACTTTTGACAGTTTGGAATTCAGTACTGGGTGAGAAAATATTTTATTTTCGAAAAATTAATAATAGCTTTTTACTCTAAGTAAATTTTTCTTTATTAACATTCTAATTTAAAATTAATAAAAATGTTTACTAATTTGAATTAGTAATAGTAAACATACAACATAATAATTCAGATATTTACTTCCTTTTTTTCCTGCAACGAATTTTATTATTAATAAAATAATTTAAATACTTATAAAAATAATTTAGGGGAGGGTAGGCTACATTGAACCGGGTATTTTATAAAGTCCAAGAACATATAAAATTTTACTAATTTCGATCAGGTTTTTGTATCAAAATTAAGCTGAAGTACTCCTTTAATTAATACACACGTTACTAACACAAATTATTATAATTAAATAATAAAATTTAATTTTTTTCTAGCCAGTTACACTTTTCTTATTTTGAAGAATGTGTGTCTACATTGAACCACCTTTAATAAAACACTACAATTTACTTCTAAAATAATATTTCTACTTACACATTGTAAAAAATCTTATTTTTCACTCAAAAAAATAGAAAATTGTTGTTAAAGAGTTATTATTTGTTAATATAGGAGATTAATATATTTTGATGTCAGGTTAGGTAGGTAAAGTGACAGTTTGAGTTTATTTCGTTCACAATTGTGATGAAAGCATGTCTTCCAGTATTTTGCTTACTAATTAGTAGAGCAGACAACTTTACAACTCTTAAAATTGAAAATTCTTTGCTTTTTCGGGTGGTTCAATGATGCCGCACTCACTGTATTCACATGACATTCACAACAAAAATTGTTTATAATAAATTTATGTAAAAGTTAAAATTCTTTATCACATCGGAATATTGAAGTTGGCACCCTAAGCTAAATAAATCACAAGTTTACTAATTTTTAAAACTTCCTATTTCAAAAAAAACTTGATTATATTTCCACAAAATTTTTTGTTTTGTACGTGAAAAACAGTTTTTTTGGTTTTTCTTTATAAATAATAAACCTACGTGCCCGAAATTTTTGGACATAGTTTGTTTCAGTAAAACTAACTTATATATTAAATAAGAAAAAATTTCACTCAGTCATTTCTCAGAGAATTGAAGTGGTTCACTGTTGACGCTGGTTCAATGTAGCCTACTCTCCCCTAATGTTTGCAAAGAATTTTACAAAAAGTTTTAAATAAGTGATTTGTTTTGACTATTTTTATGCAAATTCTGATTTAAATAATCGAATTGCTGAGAAATTTTTATTATTTACGAATAGAATTTAATTCATTCGAAAATTTTTGCAAAAAATTTAAATAATTGAATTCTGTTTGCAAATATTTTGAAAATGTAGTAGATATTGAAAATCATTGAATTGCGAAAAATTTTTTAAAATAATTAAATTTTACAAAGAATTAAATTAAAATTTTTGACATATTGAATTTTTCCAAACGTTTTTATTAAAATTATTTTAAATAATTAAATTTCTAAGAAGAAATTTATTACTTTTAAAAATTATTTAATTCTTGTGATGAATATTTTTATTAATAAAAATAATAATTTTGTTATTTAGCGACATAATTTTTGAATTCTTTCAAAGAATTATTTGTGTAAATAATTCAACTCTATGTAAGAATGTTATTGAAATGTAAAAGAATAATTGAATTATTTCAAAAAAATTCCTTTAAAATAGTACATTTCTTTTGAACAATTTTATTAAAGTATTTGAAAATAATTGAATTGCTGTGGAAAATTCTAATATTTATTTTTGTAAATAATTAAATTCATCAAAAGAATTTAATAAACATTATTTTAAATAGTTAAATTTTTCGAAATATAATAAATATTATAAAAATTTTATTTTACATTGAGATATTTAACCCTCCGTGGTTACGAAAGACAGAACCTCAAATAGTATGTTTGTGCCTCCGTTTTTCTCCGTGTGAATAATTGAATTCTTGTGGAAATCTTTATTTGTAAAAGTAATTTGATTTTTTGATTAATTAATTTAAAACAGTATTAAAAATACTTGAAATTCCTGGATGAGTTCTCTTATTTATCAATGTAATTGAATTATAACTTAGAATTTTATGAAAAAATTTTGTAAATAACTGAAATTCTTTAAAAAATGTTAGTATTAATTATTGAAAGTAATAGAATTATTGTGAAAAATTGTATAAAATTTTTTTTAAATAATTAATTTTTGCAAAATTTTATGAAAATAGTAGAATATTTTTTGAAAATGTTTGAATTGTTTTTAAGAAATTTGATAATTTTTAAGAATAGTTTTTTGATTTCTAGTATTAGCAATTTTCAAGTAGTGGAAATTTAAAAAAACAAAAATAGCTTTTAGTGGCTGAAATTTAAAAAAAGTTCCTAAATAGTAATAAGTAATAGAACGTAAAAAAAGTAGTAAATAGTAGATGAGTATTCTGATTTAGTCAAAGCTCATAAATACGTTTTAATTTCCTTATTTTTCATGACAAAATTATTTTACTGTCCTTCTATTGCTGGGTTGCCACGCAACCTGGAAACGCTGGAAATGTCATGGAATTTTATAAACCGTGAAAAAACCTGAAAAAGTCAGCGATTTTTTATCTGAATCCTGGAAAATTATTTTTTTCTAAAGATATTGTGCTTTTTGTTAAATATTTCAAAATTAATTCAATTTTAAAAGAGTTACGTTTACAATTTTCATAAATAGATAGGGGAGAGTAGGCTACATTGAACCAGCGTCAACAGTGAACCACTTCAATTTTCTGAGAAATGACTGAGTGAAATTTTTTCTTATTTAATATATAAGTTAGTTTTACTGAAACAAACTATGTCCATAAATTTCGGGCAGGTAGGTTTATTATTTATAAAGAAAATCCAAAAAAACTGTTTTTCACGTACAAAACAAAAAATTTTGTGGAAATATAATCAAGTTTTTTTTTGAAATAGGAAGTTTTAAAAATTAGTAAACTTGTGATTTATTTAGCTTAGGGTGCCAACTTCAATATTCCGATGTGATAAAGAATTTTAACTCTTACATAAATTTATTATAAACAATTTTTGTTGTGAATGTCATGTGAATACAGTGAGTGCGGCATCATTGAACCACCCGAAAAAGCAAAGAATTTTCAATTTTAAGAGTTGTAAAGTTGTCTGCTCTACTAATTAGTAAGCAAAATACTGGAAGACATGCTTTCATCACAATTGTGAACGAAATAAACTCAAACTGTCACTTTACCTACCTAACCTGACATCAAAATATATTAATCTCCTATATTAACAAATAATAACTCTTTAACAACAATTTTCTATTTTTTTGAGTGAAAAATAAGATTTTTTACAATGTGTAAGTAGAAATATTATTTTAGAAGTAAATTGTAGTGTTTTATTAAAGGTGGTTCAATGTAGACACACATTCTTCAAAATAAGAAAAGTGTAACTGGCTAGAAAAAAATTAAATTTTATTATTTAATCATAATAATTTGTGTTTGTAACGTGTGTATTAATTAAAGGAGTACTTCAGCTTAATTTTGATACAAAAACCTGATCGAAATTAGTAAAATTTTATTAGTTCTTGGACTTTATAAAATACCCGGTTCAATGTAGCCTACCCTCCCCTAAACTTCAAAATGAAATTTTGTAAAATTTCAATTTTGAATGAATTAATAAAATAATAAAAATTTGACAGAAAATCTATTATTTACCAATTCTTTATAAATTTCTTCGCAATAATTCAATTATTTTCATTAATAATAAAACTCATCGCAGAATTTCAATTATTTTTAATACAATTCTAATGGAATTTCTCGAAAAATGTAATTATTCTTAAAATTTTCTATTAAAATTCATCAAAGAAATTCAATTTCTTGAAAGAATTATGTTATTTTAAAAAAATGTTAATAAAATTATTTTTAACAATTCAATTTTTTTCAAAATAATTTTAATAAAATTCTACTTAGAAATATAATTAATTTCAATAAACATTCACAAAATACCTACCGTCAACTGGGGCTATTTTGTGCATCCGGGGGCTATTTTGTGCACGCGAGTTTTTTAATGAAAAAAATTATTAAAATGAATTATTTTAATCTGCTATTTTGTAAAATGAAAGTTTGATTACATGACAATAGAGAGCACTAAATGTTATTATTTAATTCTTTGGCAATTAAGAGAAAAAAATTCCTAAAAACGGAAAATTTGTTTAAAAAATTTTGAAAGTTTGGAAAAATTATACCAGATCTTCTAGAGTTTTAATGTGTCTCATAAACTGTGTTAGATATTTGTTTTTAATTGTGTTGTGATGATACATACGTAATGCGCTAACTAAAAGTGGAAAAAACTGAAAAACCAGGATTCCATGGGGCTATTTTGTGCACTTAAAAAAATCAAATATTTTTCATAAATATTTTATTTAGTAAGTAAAGAAGATTCTGTTTATCATTTTTATACATTTTTGTCTTACTTTTTTGTCAAAAAACTGTAAATACGTTAATTAAAATCATTAAAACGATTTATAAGTTTTTCAAATTAGTTTTAAAACTATTTTCTCGTTTCTTTTAAAATAACTTGAAAATCATATTAGATATTAAATTGTTATCTATTTAACCTTAAAAATATTTATTTCAAGTTTTTTAAAAAAAATCATTCAAAACCATTAAAAAAGCTCCTATTGAAATGATGTTTTAAAGTTATTTATAAGTGTTTAAACGATCATTTTATAATTATATTAGTATATTATTATAAAATATATATTAAAAAAGAAAAAAATTTTATTTACTATCTGCGTAATATACAATTTAAAAAAGAAAGATTGATAATTTTTAGTAAATCCAGATTTTAGCAAAATTTTAGTGCTTTATTTTACATTTTTTGTATAATATATATCTACAAAAAAAATTTTACTAGGTCATTCTTTTTTTAATTTACTCTCAAATATATACACAAAAGATTTCATGAAGCAGAAACGATTAAAAAAATTGTTTACGCAACATTATAGAAAAACAAAGTTCGATGTACAAAATAGCCCCATCCCGGGAGTTATTGTGTTCACGACTTTCAATGACTATAACTAAGACAAAAAAATTTTTTTCTTTGCAAAATTTATAGAAAACCTTCAGAAGGATGTCCACAACATATATCAAAAGTTGATTTTCTTTATTCTCTTAATTCTGAATTTAAATAAATCTTTGAATCAAAAAAAAGCTATTTGGTGCACAAAATAGCCCCGGTTGACGGTAATTCAATTGTGTATTTAAAAAGAAATAATATTAAAAAATTCATCTCAAAAATTCAATTGTTTTCAAAAATTTTAATAAAATTCTTGGCAAAATTTCAATTATTTTCAAAAACTTTTCTCAATTCAATCAAATTTTTTTACAGAGATTCAATTATTTTTAATACAATTTTAATCTAACTTCTCGAAAAATGAAATTATTCTTAAAAACGTTATTAAAATTCGTCAAAAAAATTTAAACTACCTATTTAAGAATTTTCGGATAAAATTCTTTATGAGAAAACTCTCATAAAACTCTCAACATTCAATTTTTCAGTAAATTATTTACTTTTGTATTTAAATAATTGAATAATTAAATATGAATTTCAGTTAAAATTTTAGATAATAATTGAATATTAAACTCTCTAAATTTGAATTAGTAAAAATGTTTTCTAATTTGAATAAGTCACTGACTTTTTGCTCTTAAATTAGCATATTGTACTTATAAATAGTCGTTTACTACTAATTTAATAGTAAAATTTACTAATTTGAATTTTTCATCCTTTTGACTGAAAATTGTGTAGATTTAATTTATTTGAAAAAGTTTAATTGAATTTTTTTTTTTTTGTTATTTGAAGTCTTTATTTTCTAAATATTTAATTTGAAGAATTTCCGAATAATCGATGAAATTTCGTAATATTGAATTCTAAACAAAAGGATTTGAAAATTTTCAAAAAAATTTATCAAAAACTATTAAGTTAAAAATTCTGGAAAATAATAATTAAATTGAAGTTATGAGAGTAATGTAAAAGTTATAATGAGAAATTATTTAATTTTGTAAAATATTTAAATAGTTTTAAAAACCTGGAAAAATTCCAATTTTTAACGTGGAAAACCTGAAAAAGTCAGAGAATTTGAAATGAACAAAAGCGTGGTAGCCCTGAATCTATTTTACCAGTTTTTAAAATTGAAATATTAATAGTACTTATAAATGTTGTTATAAATGTTATAAATGTTGTTTTCTTTTTATTAATATTTTAGGAACGCGCTGCTGATATGGAAAAAATATCTAGAACTTTACGTGGAGAAAACACTCATTTGAAACGATTAACGAAAGCTGCAAACGATTCGACAATGATTGAGTCTGTCAGTGATTCCGAAGTGCCAGGTGAATAAATAAATAAATTGTTATAAAGAAAAATTATTTTTATCGAAATTATAAAATTCAAAAATAGGTTGTTTCTATACTTTTTTTATATTTTAAAAAGTGCTTTCATTAAAAATATTTTCTAAAAATTGAATAAAAAATGATTTTATTTTTCAGTAATAAACGATAAACCACTATCGGAACAATTGACAAGCAATGCCCAAACGCGTGCCTTAAAATTTGAATTGAAAAATCGACGTCTTTTAATGTTGATTGAATCATTAAAAGAAAATTCATTTCACGAAAGTTCATCGCTTGTTTTTGAATTGGAGAAAGAAAAAAAGAAGCTTTTATTAAAAATTGAATCACTCACGGATAATAGTGAACGAATAACACAGCAGAATTCTGATTTAGAACTTGTTTGTAAGCAAGCGCTTGAGGAGAATAAAAAATTGCAGACATCATCGAAAAATCAGAAATTATCCTACGAAAAGCAGCAACAGAATTTACAAGCGCAACATACAAAATTGAACGATATGGAGATAAGGCGTGCCGATGATGTTGAATGCTCATTGGAAAGTCCAAATAAAAAATTAGAAGAACTTCGTAAAATTGAGAGTGAATCGAATAAAATTCAAACAAAATGTCTCGAATTAGAAGGTAAACTTTATGGTTTAGAGAAGGAGAGAGACACTGCACAACGTGATGTTCATAAATGTCGACAGGTACTTGAGGTACATTTTTTTTTATTTTCCAGTCCGATTTTCTTTTCTTGAAGTTTATATAATTTAAAAAATTTATAATAATAATACTTATAATAATACTAAGTAATAATAATTTATAATAATAGATGTCGCATTAGATCAAGCTTCATATACAATTGAACTTTTAGAGGAAAAAGTAGCGCAACTTGAGCAGGAAGTTGTAATTCAGCTTCTCAATTTTCTCGGTATGTGTTCAATTATAAGAAAACAGAAATTGTTTAAAACTTTAATTTTAAATAATAAAACAATTTTCCAGATTACAAAAAGTTGAACGATCCAGCAAGGAATTGATCTCGATAGCAGCAATTGATCGTGAAACTTTGGAAACGTTACAATCGAATTTAGTCGCTGAAAAATTAAATACACAAAAATTGTATACAATTTTGGAGAAATTCGGAATCGAACGCAATACAATTGTGAAAGAAGACGAAGTAAAAAGCTCAACTTTTCAGGAGGAAATGAGAATTTTGAAAGTAAGAAATGTTTTTGTTTGAACAATAAACCATTTTTTTCTATTTTTAAAATTATATTTTCATTTTTTTCAAAAATTTAAAAAAAATTTCACTACAAAATTAGAAAGTATAATTTTTCTAAATATATGTTTTTAATTAAGGAAACAATAAATATTAAAATTTAATAGTTTTAATAAAATTAATAATAAAATTTTAAGTTTTTAAAATTTAAATTTTAATTCCTGGAGAGAAAACTATTCATCCGATTAAAGTTTTTTTTACACTGTATACTTGTCATGTGAAATGAACATTGTACGCCACATTTGAGCTTCTAGCGCCATATATCATAGGAGTTAGGTACTCAAATGTGATTTTGATATACTCGCTTAGGGGCCGTCCATAAACCACGTAGCCCCATTTTTTGGGAATTTTGACCCCCCCCCCCCATGTAGTACGCTATTACATGTATTAGCGCCATTTTTTCCTCTTGTCGTAGTCAATTGCTTGACCCCCCCTCCCCCTCAAGAGGCTACGTGGTTTATGGATAGCCCCTTAATTGTTTTCACTCATTTAGTCTGCCATTGTAAATAGCGATAAACGGTCGGAAAAATTATTTCTAAAGTCAAATTTAGTGCTGAACACGAATATTAAATGGATTATAATTATTATTATTATGGATATTTTATATTCTATTGTTCAAAAATGTGCGGTTGGGGCGAAACTATTCTTCCACTGATGACAGCGAAAAATACAAAACAGCGTATTTTTCTTTTGTGTGCTTCTTTCTAGGTTAGAATGATAAGAAATTGGAAGAAAAAAACCAGAAAAAATCCTCCAATTAACAAATTAATTTTTATATTTTTTTAGTATAAAAGTTAAAAAGCCCTTTTGCATATTAAAAATTTTATTCAAAGTATTAAAAACAATACAAAAATTATATTTTTTGTATTATGTTAGGCTGCAGAGGGCGTCAAAATCGATGCTTTTATTTTGAAGCGTTCCGCGGTTGCAGGTCTAGGGCCGTCCCCAGTGGTTCTAAAATAAAAACCCAAAAGAACTTTTACAGTTGAGCTACTAATCTAGTGGTTATACCTAAAATTACCTTAAAAATCAAAATTAAAAAGATGGTACATACTACTTTCAACAAGAAAATTGAAAAATGACTTTTTTTCTCAACATTTTTTATTAAAAAAAAGTATTAAAAAATTTTTATTTTCAAATTTTTTAGGTATACCCACTAAAAAACATATTTTTTAACAATATGCAAAAAGAATTAGACAGAAACATCCATCAGTTTACTCAGAATCCCTGCAACCGATTTAAAAAACAGCGTTTTGAGAAAAACAAAGTTAAAGTTTAAGTACGATTTTTTCAGATTTATTGTTAAATGGTTTTTATAAGATCTTACCAAATTTTAATTTGCTATCTTAGGTCAATAAAGTAAGTTATAAGCTTCCTAAAAAGCCTTTTCATGTTCGTCGCGAGTCTTTTTATTGTCAAAAACCATACAAAATTAAGTAATTCAATGCATTTGTCCAAAAACATGAACTGATATTTACAATGATATCTCGCAAACCGAATAAGATTTATTAAGGTTTTTGGTCTTAAATTAAAAATGAGACTTAAAGGATCACGCCTATAAAAGTTTTACATTTTGTCTGCAATTTTTAAAAAATATGCCAGAGTTTAACAAATTGTCAAAAAAACTAATTTTTTAATTTTCTTTTTAAAATTTGTCGATTGTTAAAATATTTGTGTAATTTCTTAAAATTTTGAATTGTATATCATTTAACATAGAATATTATAAGCTTTCAAACAATAGATTTGTTAAGTTTCTGACATTATAGTTTTTACAGGAATATCACGATTTAAAGATTGGTATGTTTTTTGGCCATGCGCGTGGAGCCAGTGTGACGGTAGTGTGATGTACTATAACTTTTGATAGGAGCTAAATTTTGTCTTAAAATGTTAAACCTTTATTCTAGAGATATTTAGGATTTTAAAAAAGCAACAAAAAAATTCGAAGAAAAATTTTTTTCTCATGAGTAATTCCCCTTAAAAATTACTCCCTTCCATTGCATTTTAACCCGTTAAAAATCCTCACAAAAATTCAAGCCTACGAAAATATCTATAAATTGCAAAAATTCAATGATTTATCTTTAAAACTGTCGAAGTTATGACCATTAAAGTAGAAAAAATCTATCAACAATAAATTATTTTCTTTTTATTTCTATAACGTTACATTTTTAATATTTTTGGTATAACGATGTTGTATTAATTAATCACTGGCACTGAAAATTTAAGAAAAAAGAAAATCAATATTATTTTAAAATGAGAATCTTATTACAAGCGTCATATATGTCATTTGTGATTTTCATAATAATGTAAAAAAAATTAATAATGTCGAAAACTCACGCAAAAATGCATAATGAAAATTGTTTTACCATAATTTCCAGTTTCCCTTGTCTAATCACCGGAAACATTCTCTTTGTTTTACCAAAGCACAAGCAAATTTGTTGCTTATTTACATTAAAATTTTGTGTGTTTTCGACATTATTAACTTTTTTTACATTATTATGAAAATCACAAATGACACATATGACGCTTGTAATAAGATTCTCATTTCAAAATAATATCGATATTATTTTTTTTAACTTTAAGAGCGAATTATTAATTAATATAACATCGTAATACCAAATATATTAAAAATGTAATGTTATAGAAATAAAAAGAAAAAGAGTAATAATTTTCAGATGGTTATAACTTTGGTTCTAATTAAGCTATAAACATTTACTTTCTTTGGATGTTCTCAAAATTAGGTCCACTTTAAATTACCCATAAGTAGTAGTATTTTTCGATTTACTGGAAGAAAGTTATTTCACAAAAACTTAAACTTTAATTTTTTTGAGTTTTCATATGTTTTTAGATTTTTTTAGGGTTTTAGTTGATGCATATATTCAGCACCTAGGGACTGTTTACTTATGTTAATTGAATTGATTAAAAACCTATACTGCCGTACTTGGTAAAAACTTGGTTAAGTCACTTTTTTGTGAAAAATGAGTTTTTTATATCAATGGATTCGTAAAAAAAACTGCATCTACTTATATTATTAAAAAATTTTATTTTAATTATTTAATGCAAAAAATAATTATTAAAAATCTGCGAAAATCGAGAAAATAAGGAAATACTTGAGAAAAAGTATAGTAACTCGAGTTACGTAGTGTAAAAATCGTAGAATACTCCTTAAGTCAATTTAACTAAGTTTTGCTTTTAAAAATAACACTTAAGTATAAACGTTGTCACTTCAATATTTTTTCAAAATAATTTTAATAAAATTCTTTGTAGAAATTTCATTAACTTCCATAATTTATCAAAAATTTACACTACCGTTTAAAAGTATCAAAACGATTACATTCGACTCTATGCAAAAACATGCCATCACTTTTTTAATCATATCTCGGAAATAAAAGGAGGTACAAAAAAACTTAAATACGGTTAGAAAGCTGATTAAATTTTGCGTAAAATAAGCCGTTTTTAAAGTCATTTCGTTAATTATTTTTTAAGTTGTAGAGTGAGAAAGAAATAAAAAAAATTATCAAATTTTCTAATTTTTGTCTCTTGACTTCAACTTTTTCAAAAATCTAGAAAAATTTAGATAAAATTTTTCTAAAAACACAGAAATCTTCGTTAGAATTTCAGCTTTAAAATAAGCCTACGAAAATTAAAAAGGTTAATCCGTCTTTGATATATCATTAAAAATGTGAAGCCGTGTTTCGACCGATTGGTGCATTGAAATTGAACTGTGACGACTCGATTGTGGCTTCGCGCGGCAACGAATGAGAGAGAAAACAGGAACGAATTCATGCGCGGAAACGATGAACTTTTGAGTTTCTTTATATTACTCGTGAAACATCATTATTTATTATTCTCCAGCAAAAATTCGTCCCTGTTTTCTCTCATTCGCTGCCGCGCAAAGCCAGAATCGAGTCTTCACTGTTGAACTTCAATGCACCAATCGATCAAAACACGGCTTCACATTCTTAATGATATATCGAAGACGGATTAACCTTTTTTAATTTTCGAAGGCTTATTTTAAAGCTGAAATTCTAACAAAGATTTCTGTGTTTTTAAAAAACATTTATCTAAATTTTTTTAGATTTTTGAAAAAGTTGAAGTCAAGAGACAAAAATGAGAAAATTCGATAATTTTTTTTATTTCTTTCTCACTCTACAACTCAACAAATAATTATCGAAATGACTTTAAAGACGGCTTATTTTACTCAAAATTTAATCAGCTTTCTAACCGTATTTAATTCTTTCTTGTATCTCCTTTTATTTCCGAGATATGATTGAAAAAGTGATGGCATGTTTTTTTATAGAGTCGAATGTAATCGTCCTGATACTTTTGGACGGTAGTGTAATTATTTTCAATATCTACTATTTCAATAAAATTTCACAAAAGAATTCAATTAGATATTTAAAAAGAAATATTATTAAAAAATTCATCACAAGAATTTTTATTATTTTCAAAGGAAAAAAATTTCTTTGCAATAATTCCATTATTGTCAAAAATCTTCAATTTATTTTTACAGAGATTCAATTAATTTTATAAATATGTAATACAATTTTTTACAAGGATTCAATTATTATTTTCAAATAAAATTGTTTATATTGATTTATTATTATTTTTATAAATAATAAAACTCACTGCAGGATTTCAATTATTTTTTATAAAATTTTAATCGAATTCTTCGAAAAATGTAATTATTCTTAAAATTTTATTAAAATTCGTCTCAAGAATTCAATTATTTTCCAAAGTAATAAAATTCTTCGCAAAAATTCAATTATGATCAAAAGTTTAAAAAATTTATTGTTAAAATTTCAATTATTTTTATGAATATTAAAATCTTTCTTCAAAATTCAATTATTTTTAAAAATTTTAATAATACCTAATCTTGGCAATATGTCAATTATTTTTCAAAAATTTTAATAAAATTCTTGGCAAAATTTCAATTATTTTCAAAAGCTTTTCTCAATTCAATCAAGTTCTCTTATAGAGATTCAATTATTTTTAATACAATTTTAATCTAACTTTTCGAAAAATGAAATTATTCTTAAAAATTTTATTGTAATTCTTTAAAAGAATATTAATTACCTATTTAAAAATTTGTTGATAAAATTCTTTAAATAAGAGTTTTATTTTAGAAAACATTCAATTCTTTGATAAAATATTTTCTTGTATTTGAATAATTGAATTGTCTTAGAATTTTCAAATAATAATTGATTCAAATATGAATTTCAGTTAAAACTTTAGATAATAATTGAGTTTTGAAAAGGTGGCAAATTATAATCTTTGAATGTTTGAATTTTTTATACTTTTAACTTACAATTGTGTAGAATTGTGTAGATTTAATTTTTTTTAAAAGTTCAATTTAATTTTTTTTAATTTTTTTGAAGTTTTTATTTTCTAATATATATATTTGATCTAAGAATTTCTGAAGAATCGATGAAATTTCGTAAAATTGAATTGTAAAGAGAAGGATTTGAAAATGTTCAAAAAAATGTTTCAAAAATTATTAATAATAATTAATTTAAAGAAGAATTTTTATTAAAAATTCTGGAAAACAATAATAAAATTGAAATGATGAAAATAATTTTTAATTATTATAAAACATAAAGAAATCGATTGCTCCGAGTCGAAAACTCGATTTCTTTATGTTTTATAACAATTTGTTTATAAGTTTTTTAATTTCAAAAAAGGTTTGATATTTTTAGATCATCCTCCTGTTAACCGATGTGTCTTCTCATTATTTGTCTACGCTAGAAAATTACAAAAGGTAATAAAAAAGTAAAAATTGAAAGGTGTACACATAAGATTTATCTTATATGTAAACCTTTTCAGTTAGATGAAATAGTTACTTATTTTACATTCTTAATGAATAAATTGTGTATATTATATGGAATTAGACATTAATTCTTTGTTTCGTTTTTTTAACAGGTGCATAAATAGATGGATTTCTCGTTTTAAAGTGTACGATCTACATACATAGATAGAGACGCTGTAAACGTTATTGAGGATTTACTTCTACAATACAAGAAAGCCTTTCATCTCAAGATTATTTCAGTGAAATTACAAGGTAAATACTCGGCAAAAAGGCTGGAATTTAAAAAAATTTGTTTTTTATATTTTTCAAAAATTTTAAGTATAGTATATTGTATTAAGTACAAAATATTGAACATTACCTCAAGTACTCTCGAATTCGAGAAAATATTCAAAATAATTAAATCTTTTACATTAAAGAAACGTAGATTTTATTCCAGAAAATGAATGAAATTAAATTTTTCAATTAATTCAAAAATAAATGTATCTTATATTGTTTAAATATACCTAAAGTAATTAATACTTTATATTTTATTTCATTCCAGCCTTATAACCAGGTATACTATTTTCAGTTTTGGTTAAGGAAACAGTACAACCTAAAAGAAATAGAGAAATATTTGAAATGCAATTTTTTAAAAAATAAAATAGATATCTGCATGAAATTTAACACAAATATTTTCATAACATAATACTTTACAAATAAAATTGTGTGTCGTTTTTGTGATGCGTCTTTTTAACTATCGCAAATTTTTGAAAAAATATCAAAAACACGGCGGGTGTGATTTTAGCTCACTGGAACCGCTAAAATTATGCCTGTCGTGATTTTTTTCACAAATCTGTAAAGGACAAAGAAAACGTCAAAAATTTCAAAACAAAAATTTTTTTTGGGAAATATTATGACGTGAAAATACATGAGCAAAGTTTCATTGAGATGTCTCTTTTTATTCATAAAAAAATGCATTTGAAAAATTGATTTTTTTAGGGTATACTGTTTCTTTAATTTATTATGTACTTTTTTAGAATATTCAATTTATTAAAACTCACCCTATAATAACCCTCTGCATGTATCCTCTTACGCATACTTCTTTTTTCTATTTTATAATTACTTTCGTAGTTAAAAGTAAATCTTGTTACATTTTAGGGTGTAAAATTCAACTTGTTGCATGCTTGTAAGTTGATTCTTATAATCTAAATCAGTACAAGTTAAAAAAATATAAGGGTGCAATGTATTACAAGTCAATACATATTTAATTCATAAGTTGCATGTGTATGAATTGAAAGACAAAAACATATGACCCTGAATCTATTTACAATGTTAGAGTAAAAAATTCAATTTGTTCTTTACTTATGAGTAAAATCTTTGCTCAAAAATCAGAAAAGTTTTATAAATATGGTGTAAAACTTAAAACGTCAATAAGATCAAATTATATAAAAATTGCATGTTTTTGAACTGAAAGACGTTATAATTTACACCTGAACCTTGTAATACTTTTAGTTTTGAATGTTGAATCTTTTAGGTTAAACACGTACAAGTTTAGAATAAAAAGGTGTACTGTTTGACCTGCTAGTAGATTCTACTAAATGATTGCTTGTATATAAATTGAAAGACGTAAAAAATTTTTCCTTTCATCTTGTCACTATATTAGAGAAAAATTCAACTTATTGCATGTTCAACTTATAACATTCAAAACGTCAATAAATTTAAAGCAATTAATTTCAATTTAACAATTGCATGTATATATAAATTAATTTTATTTATAATTAGTTAATTTATCAATTACATAAACATAAAATAAAAGATATTCTTTTAATAAAACTATTAAATAGAATTTTAATCAACAAACCAATTAATTATTTAGCTATTATAAAGTTTAATAAAACAGACTAACGATGAATTTTAAGTTGTTATTATAATTTTAATAAACCTTGACAAACCTTCTATATTATTAGTTATTTATAACACAGCCCCACAAAAAAAAGTGTCGTGCGCGGCAGACCAGACTAGTCATTTCCTATGTATTTTGACGCGCTGAACACGAATCCGAAGTCCGTTTTGCTCCATCACGTCAGGATTTTCTTCAAACCTCAAAAAATCTGTCGGATTTTGAGAGGTAGGCTATTTTTTCTTAAATTAATGGATTTACTTCAAACTTGGTAACTAGGGGTTTTTTGGGTCGCTGATGACAAATTTGAAGTTAGATTTTCAAAATTCAAAATGGCGGATCCAATATGGCGGACGAATTTTTTAAAAGTTAATGGATTTACTTCAAACTTGGTAACTAGGGGTTTTTTGGGTCGCTGATGACGAATTTGAAGTAAGATTATCAAAATTCAAAATGGCGGATCCAATATGGCGGACGAATTTTTTAAAAATTGATAGATTTGCTTCAAACTTGGTATCTAGGTGTTTTTTGGGTCGCTGATTACGAATTTGAAGTTAGATTTTCAAAATTTAAAATGTTGGCTCCAATATGGGGGACGAATTTTTTAACTATTGATGGATTGACTTCGAAGTTGGTATCTAGGGGTTTTTTGGGTCACTGATTACGAATCTATAGTCAGACTTTCACATTTTGAACTCCCTGCACGGAAAAAATGTCCGTGCACCGCTTGTCTCACTTCCAGTGCAGTTGATGCAGAGGTTGTCCGATGGAAGTGCGTTTGCTGTCTCTAAAAAGGGCCGTATATGATCCCTTTTCAAAGTGTAAGATTTGTACTGTAATTAAGGACCATTGGTGCACATATAGAGATAAACAGTGTACAGAAATTTTTTCCGTGTGGCTGCTCCGAAAGATTTTTTGGTAGAGTGTTGTGTAGCGGGAACTGTAATTTTTTGTTTTGTAATGAACTACTCTCAAGAACTGACAGTTGGGTCTCATTGCATCATAGAGATCAATTCGGCAAATGCACAAAACTTTTTTCATTGAGGTAATAATGTGACAATAAGATGTAAAAGTTAAATAAGAAATTTTTAAGCAACGAGATAAAAAGGAACTTTAATATCCTCTATCCTTCACTATCTTATTCCTTAAAAATACATTGTTTACCTTGTACGCTTTGCACTTTTATTGTGTTTCAGCACAATACTAATCCTGCTGCTTCGATAAATGTAGTAGGCGATGACAACTGCCCCGAAAGGGGATGTGTAGAATGATTCGCTTCCTGTTTATCGAAGTAACAAAGCCAGCGTAGGCGCGCTGCCCTGCAGGGGGACGTTAGGGTGTGAGGATGATGCCGTAGTGTGTCCGACGACGAGTTGACTTTGTCCTCGTCAAAGTCGGAAAGCTCTCATACTTAGGCCTGGGGAGGTATAAGGGTTATCACCCCTAGGACGGCGGACTCACCTGCGATCGGGACAGGATCCCTAACGTGCAGGTTTTCACATAAATCATGGCTTCTCAAAATCAAAACAATAATAAAACTCCAAAGGCTTCAAAACTTAATTTTGCAGTAACAACGTCGGAACACTTATGCGACAGCAATGCAGATGCATTTTGTTACATATGTGGACAATTCAATGTCCCTAAAAATCGTAAATCAATAAATGAAAATATCAAACAGATCTACAAAGATTATTTTGATCTTGAGATAACCAATCAGGATAAAAATTTTGTTCCACACAAAATTTGTAGTTCCTGTTACACAATATTAACTCGTTGGAATCATAAAAAAGGGGATAAACTAAAGTTTATAAAGCCAACTTTGTGGGAAAAACCATTAAATCAAAAAGATTGTTATTTTTGCAACACCAATGTGCAAGGATATAATAACAAAAATAAAAAGAACATATTGTATGCTAATGTCGACACTGTAAAAAAACCAGAATTTTCATGCAATCCACCTTCTTCTCCCAAAACCTTGGAAATTGACAGTTCAACTGAAGATGTTCTAGATTTTGAAAATAAAGACATGAGAACCGATGATGAGGACGACTATTACCTTCCGTATGATGAACAGGAGATAAAGATTCGACAAACGTTTAACCAAGAAGAACTTAGCAATCTCATTAGAGATTTAAAATTGCCGAAGGATTGTGCAGAACACCTAGCATCAGTGTTGAAGAAGAAAAACTTGTTATCAAAAGGCACAACAGTTAGCTTTTATCGAGACAGAGAAAAAGAATTCCGACAATATTTTACAAAAGATGAAAATCCGTCGTTGGTATATTGCTCAGATGTTGTCGGACTCATGAATAAATTAAAAACAAATATATACAAAGATGAAAATTGGAGACTATTTATTGACTTTTCGAAAAGAAGTTTAAAAGTAGTACTACTACATAATACTAATATTTATGCTTCAATTCCAATAGTGCATTTAACGGAGCAGTTGTCGAAAATTTTCTGGGTAATCACAAGAGTGAAAATTGGAAGCAAATAGTTAGTGATATGATTAAAAATTTTGGTAAGTTAGGATGCTTAATGAGCATAAAGATGCATTACTTAGACTCGCATCGGGATCGATTCCCTGAAAATTTGGGAGATTACAATGAAGAACAAGGAGAACGATTCCATCAAGATCTTAAAGAATTTGAGCGTCGTTATCAAGAAAGATGGGATGTAAATATGATGTCCGACTACTGTTGGATGCTGAAAAGGGATATTGTACCTGGAGGCACCAATTTGAAACGAAAACCATTACACAGATCCTTTGAGGACAAAAGAGTGCGCTACCATAAAAGGACGTGAATACCTTACTTATGTATATAAGAATTTCAATTTCGAGTTTTGAAAATCTAACTTCAGATTCGTAATCAGCGACCCAGAAAACCCCTAGTTAGCAAGTTTGAAGTAAATCCATTAACTTTTAAAAAATTCGTCCGCCATATTGGATCCGCCATTTTGAATTTTGAAAATCTAACTTCAAATTCGTCATCAGCGACCCAAAAAACCCCTAGTTACCAAGTTTGAAGTAAATCCATTAATTTAAGAAAAAATAGCCCACCTCTCAAAATCCGACAGATTTTTTGAGGTTAGAAAAAAAATCTGACGTGATGGAGCAAAACGGACTTCGGATTCGTGTTCAGCGCGTCAAAATACATAGGAAATATATAGGAAATTAAAAAAAAAGTGTCGTGCGCGGCAGACCAGACTAGTGTCTGGTCTGCCGCGCACGACACTTTTTTTTGTGGGGCTGTGTAATTATTATTGTAATTTTATTATTATGTTATATAATATATAAATGTCAATGTGTTGAAATATATTATAAGTGTATAACCACGTATAATATAATTGGTCTTTTATCTAATCTCTAAATCAAATATTTGCAAAATTAACCTTTTAGCTTAAATTTTAGACACAGAAAACTGCGCAAAATTACATTTGTTAACAGTATATAAAATAATTTTGCTTGTGTCAAAATACTTTTTTGCAATACAAACCTGCAAACTTGAATTGTACACATAGAAAACTATGTAAAATACTTCTTCTTATAACGGCGTGTAGAGTAATACTTTACACAATAAAAGCAGGACATAAAGTGATAAATAAAAATTAAATATATACATATTTATAAATTGAATATTTTATCCAATGCGTACTCTGAAAGTAGTACTCTTCATGTTAAAAAAGGGTGGCGAAAGTAGAATTTTTCTCAACTTCTTTGACAGGAGTAGCGAACGTAAATCATAACGTCACTCATTTTTTTCTTCATCTTCGACCGAGATATATCTTGTTTCTCACTCCTCCCCCACTCAGAGCATTTGTTCGTTATTTTATTGAACTTGATTACACGTTGAATTAACATTAAATGCATTATTAATTGATTAAACTGAAACGAAAAAACTTTCCTTGCAAGGCGTTGGAGAAATGGCGTGTGCAACTCGTAAAGAAAAATGATTTTGCTCGTGTGATTTCACCCTCGCAAAATTACTCATTTTCACTGTTGCAACTTACACTGTTTTAATGTAGGAAAAAGGAAATAAGTAAATAATGTAAAACAAAATGTCAATATTTATTCGTTGTCATTTTTTTACAGTACTTTAAGTTTATACACAACAAATTTACTGAAAATCACAAAATGCAATGCAAAAAGATAAATTTTATCAAATAATAATAAATTGATACTTATTTTTTTTTAAATAGTGGTGAAAATAACCATAATTAAATTTTTCAAACATTTTTAAATAATTTTTCAAATTGAATTTCCGAAATATTTACTTTAAAAGAATTTTAAATATAATTCAAATTTTTGTAGAATTTAATTGAAAATAATTATTTTTTTCAATTATTTAAATAACAATTGTTAAAAATCAACTTTTGATGAATGATTATGTGCAAATTATGAAAATAATTAAATTTTCAAAAAATTTTATAAAAAATCTTCCAGTGTAACTTTAAAAATGAAAATTAGCTTCTAAAAATTACTATATTAAAATATTTTCAAAAAAAAGTAATTCTTAGGGTTTTTTTATTCCAATTTTGAAAGATTTAATTATCTTCGCACAAAATTAAGTAAAATTTTTAAAAATTTTAAAAAATTACTTTTAAAAAATTGATTTAGAGATGAAATTTAGTTAATAAATTGTAAAAAATAATTGAATTGCGGAAGGGTTATAATTGCAATTTTTAGAAATTATTATATTTTAGAAGATTTTAAATTGAAATTTTATAGTCTTTATTTCCCATGGAAAGATAAGTAATTAAATATTTATTTAACCAAATTATTCAAGTTTTGAATATCTAATTTAATTTAGGAATCAATGAAAAATCAAGGAAATACAAACTCAAATTTTTGTGGCACAACACTGAGTTAAATAAATGACTTTTTTTATTTTTAATCGATTAAAGTGACTTTTTTACTCCTTTAAAGTCGATCCGAAGCCTGATAAAGAGACAAATATTATCTCAATTTCAGGTGTAGGGAAATTTCCCTCTGATTGTAACTAACAAGAAAATAATTATATTTAATATACATATACGTATATTTTAATTGAAAATTGAAATGTTAACTTCATTGCAATAATGGTTGATATGAATTTAAAGTATTATTATATGTTTAAATTCAGACAGAGAAGGATATTACGTCAATATTAGATTAAATATTGTGAGGTCAAAGTATTGTACGCAAATCATATAGATAACTTTCAAAGTTCGAATGTACGCCAACAAACTTAACCTCAAAATATTGACAAAAATGTTTGTCAATTGACTTACATAAACTTAAAATTGAGTCAAATATATCCTTCTATTCATGTTATGTCATCGAAAACAAATATAACCTCAATATTATATTGAAGGAAACAATAGTAAATGTAATTATTATTTTTATCACTTGAAACAAAAATAATGTTTTGTAAATAATAAAAGCTTTTAATGACAGGTTAAAAATAATAATTTCCAGTCCTAATCAAAATAACTAATTTTTTAATTAGAGATAAAAAAAATGATTATGATTAAAAGCTAATTATATAAATATACATAATATTTTATTATTTATTTTTTTATTTTTACTTAGTTAATAAAAATGACTTTTGGAGAAATTTACAAACCTGGAAAATTAAAATTGCAGGAGATGTAAAAATTCTATTTAAATAATTTTAAATATTTTTAATGTGATAATAATAACAAAACACTGAAAGGTGGATAATGGATTTTAAAGATTATTAATCAGATTATAAATTCAGTATAATCTTATTTTCTATAATCAGAATTAAATAATCCATTTTTCTTCGTGTAGTCTATAGCAAAATCAACAATTTACAAACTGCTATTTGCCAGTTTCATTTATGCTCGAAATGTAGAGTGTTCTTTCTTTGATATTACTGTTTTATGGTTTTTAAAGTGTTATAAGAAAATTAGTTGCATTTTCTAGAAGTATTTTAAGGATATTTTAATTTACAATTTAGCATATTTTAATCAGAACATCCATAAAACGTAATTATTAAATATTTCAATGAATATTATAATTATTCAATATGAAGACATATTATGTACTGTTTTTTTAACTTCAATTCGAACATAAATTTGGTTAATTTTTTAATATTAATAAAGATAATATATACAGTTGTTGTTTAAAACAATGTTAGAGCTTTTTTGATTTTATACATAACGTTGAATAAGTATTTTAACCATGCAAGTTTTGCTTTTAATTAAAAATTTGTTTAGTACCGATTTTTAGTGAAGGTGTTTTGTTTATGTCTCCTGTATTTAGACCCAACCATTTTTCAAAGCTTGTTAAGTGGTTTAATTTTTAATTCTCTTTTTCTAGAAGGATTTTATTTTTAATACAAAAATTTGCTTTTATTTAAATTCCTTTTTTAGTGTATACGGTTCATTTTATACGAAGAATTTGCTTATGATAAATGCAAAATAAGAACTTATTTTCTGTTTTCTATGAGGAATTGTTTTTTTATAAATATGTGTATTTAATAATGTTGTAATATGTAAACATTTTTTTTTTATTTTAAAATTTTAAATAGAATTCTAGAGTTTTTGAAATTCTAATTCAATTTTTGTGCTAATTTGAAATTATTTATTCGACACAAATTAATGTTTAAAAAAAGTTGTGTATCCTAATTTCGAAGTTTATTAAAAATGCTGAGATAGCTTTTATTGTTCTATGCGTAGACATTGTGTATGTTTTAGTTATTAATTTCGTTAAAATATACTTATTTAATTTGTCGACTATAATTTTTAGAGAGCAAGAATAATAAGAAATATATATTTTATTTAAATTACATAAAAGTGAATGAGAACTTAATTGTCTACGTAGGTATTTCGTTTAATGTTTTCTTGCTACTGACCTAGTCACCTGAGATGTAACCTTACGCAGTGTCGCGTAACCAAATTCGTACACCTGTCTAATTTTATACATTTTCTCTGTATTTTATTTAAATTTTCAATTATTAAATTTCGTATTTAAAAATTATACTGTGGTAGGATCTTCCAAAAAATTGATCCAGAAATTAATTTTAGTTTTAATTATGAATAATATTAAACAATAAAAACATTATATCATGGATCTCAAAAACATTGAAATCTTTGAAAATCTAAATTTCATTCTTTAGCATGACCAATGACTATAAGTAAACCTTTCTAAAATTATTTTTTTGTATAAGTTGAGTCTTTGTAAAATTTAATTGAACATGATTATATCCTCTTAGTTTAAATTTTTTTTAATAATATCAAACAATATTTCAGTATATTTGACTTTTTTTATGATCAAGTCATTAGAAAATTTTGTTAATATCAGTAGTTTAATGTTAGTGACATATGTTTACTGTTTTTTAACTTTCAAGCTTATTTGTTTTAGTGCTGTGTTGCATTAAAGAATGCTCTTAAAAATATTATTTGCAAATATTTTACAAGTTAGTCGAAAGCATAATCTGATTAGAGCTTAAATGTCATTTGTTTTATTAGTAATTCAGCTTGAAATTTCGATGGTTATTTCAATAAAATAATAGTATTCGATATTTCCTTGTAAAAATTTTTGAAATTTTTGAAATTTTTGAGTTATGAATTTTCAAAATTTTCGCTTTTTAAATGTAGCTATATTTTTAATGTCAGATAACTCAAAAAATATTGCTTCTTTTCATTTTTTGACAAGAGAAAAAAAATTTTGTTTTTCTTTCTACTTTTGAATAATCATAACAAAAAAATTTTTTTTTCATTTTTTATTAAAAAAATAAAAAAAATTTTTAAACAAATTAATTTTTTTTAACTTTGGGTATGATAAATTTTTAATTTTC